AAAAAAAAAAAAAGAAAAAAAAAGGAGGGGGGGCAAGAAAAACCACACTGTTCTGCAGGACAACTGAGAATTTACTTTCAACACGTAACAACTTCATACAAACATTTAATAACCAAATTTATTAAAAATAAAATTAAACAATCTTCTTAAAAATACTTCAGTCTGAAAAGTTGCACATTTGTCACCAGCAGCGGGAAGCTTACCTGCTTGGCTGTTTTCAGACTGAGCTATAAGTGCTGCCATTGCTGAATTTGGGTTCAGCCTATTGCCGTACATGTGGGATGGAGGCAGACTGAGTGAAGATCCAGGTAGGGTGCTTGCCTGCAAGAAACCAGTTAAAACTTGAATCCTTTTTTTTAAATGGGGGAGAAATGCTAAACATATTTTAAAGAAGCCTTACTAATGCACAATTATTAATTTTTTTCAAAGTTGAATGCTTTTTAAAAACTGAATGTATTTAAAAGAAAAAATATTATTTTCCATTTGTGAGTACAGAAATAGAATTGCAGTACTTTGAAAATATATCAGGTTTTAAAGTGTGTTTTACTTCTTGTTGGCAAGATCTGTTAATAAAAAAACCTTCTAATAAAAAAATTACTGCAGCAAATATTAAGAATACCTAAATTGCATTTTAAAACAACCACCATGTAGCAGGATGGGTAGACTTCCTTGCAATCCTGAAGTATGCACTCAATGCTAGTACTTAGTAGCATGGCGACCATGTGGTTATCCTACTAATTATTTAATCTTATTAAACCATTTACAAAATAAGGGCAGGTAGACAACAGATGTCTCACAAATGCTTGGGTTCCTTACATCACAAGCCGGCTGTGGGGGTCAAAAGGTCCAACTTTCAGCTCTATAGTTTAACTACACAGAGCCATATTTCCTTTGCTCGACTCGGTCATTAGTAAAACCTGCACACTATTTTGTTACTTCCTATTTTGATAGACTTGGAAGCCTGGTTTTTTTTGTTTTGTTTTGTTTTTATTTTAAAGAACGCAAACAGCCATTACAAGTATGTTTTCTATACAATAGGGGGCTCGCCGAATCACAGCTTTGCCCTGACCCCATATAAGGAACTGTATTTTTGGCAGTTGGCCAGCTCTACTTATTGAAGAGCTCCCAAAGTTTGTGTTCATTCATGTTGCTAACCACAATTCTGAAGGTCTCTGCTGGGACTTGTGCCAAACAAGCGAAAATGAACCCTTAAACAGATGAAGCTAAGGAGGCTGGCCAAAATCTTGCATAATCCAAAGCAATAAAAATACCTTCTTCCTTGGCTGCTTATGCTTTTTCCCTTTCGAAGAAAAGATTTGTGTCAAATGCTGAGTTGCAGAGACAGGCAATCAAAGAAAAAAAGGCACGGCTGCTTATTAAAAAGGCATTTTCCTACCTGATAAAAAAATTATTTCAGAATAAAGAAAAGATTGCAATATTGGCGGGGGTGAGTGAATCAAAAGATACACAACCTGTGTGATCACTGGTTTTAAAATGAATCTTAAGAAAATGTAAACAACCCTTACAAAGGAAACTTTTTTTGAAAAACAAAAAAAGAAGGTGAACAGTAAGGAACTCAATTTGTGGGACATTTTGACATGTATAACTGCACACAAGAGACGGGGGAAACATACTGGTTATTACAGCAAAATATTACAGAGTATAAACTATGTCTCTGGAAAGAATCACACGCTACCATTAAGTTTTGGCTTTCAGCCAACATATTAAACTTGATGAATGGACTTTTATGAATTCACACAACTGTTTTCAATGATGCTTTATTTACTATATACTGGTGAGAAACTGTGCCCGATACTTACATTCTTCTACTGTCACAAAGTTAGAAAAAGCCACAAGTAATTACTTACAATGATCAGGTTTTTTTCACTTTTCAGTTTAAAGATATGTGCAAGATTGCTAGACACAGAACCACAGTTTCACTTCAAATCTGGCTGTGATTTCTTTTTTTTAAAGAATTGCAGGTCTTTAGTAGAATTAATCTGAATTAGTTGTAAGTCTTAAAAATAACGCAGGCATTTCCACCTACCCAGGTATAACAGCTTCCAGAAATACAGTATGTATTAGTACTGTGACCACTTACTGATGAAGGCAGCAATACTGCACAGCTCCTGCTATTTTCCTTAATAAATGCCTATAGTGGGACTCCAACGCAACTATTATTTTTCACTAGCAACCTTCAGCTGTTTTCCTCTCAAAAACAAAACAAACTTCAAAAACAATGTAGCTTTTTGTCAAACTCTTTCACTGAAGAAACCTAATGGAATATTACAAGATTGAACCATTATTTGCTTCCATATCTAAGAGGCAAGACTAGCAAAATAAAAATCTACATACACTTTATTTAAATAAATTGGTTGAAGTTATGAATTCTACTAATACAGTTTGTGCTTTTTTTTTTTTAACTACAAACATCAGGTCTTATTTCTGTTTAGTTTTAGAATATTTCTATAAAAGATTTCTCTTAATTCTAGTGAGTGTACTGCTCACATTTTACACAGAAGCTGCTATACTTACTCTGTGTAATTCACTGCAAGGCTGCTTAAAACTGTGCAATAGCAACTATATATTAATTTATGATGGTAGGGCAGCTATAATCAGCAAGGAGAATACATGTTTATTTGACTGAAACATGCCCAAATAACTTTAAGAAGTTTCTAGAAGTATCTAAGTATCTTGAAAGGAGTTGCTAAAGTCTGTTGAGTAACCATCACATCACAAAACGAAAGACATCAAAGGAATTAAACAATGTTTGCTAAGTGGGTTGATATAACAGATCAAAAGACTTAGCATAATTTAAACAATATCTAAGAACTTGAGTTTTTTAACAAGTGGTGGTTCACCCCAAACTTAACCCCTGTTTTTACTTCAAAATAATAGTAAAGGTGTACTACAACAAGTTGGAACTACAAAAGTTCTAGTGCCATCACGTATCCTATGCAACCCTCAAAGGAAGAAGTCACATCAGTAAAATTGTTCAAGTAAGATGGAGGCAAAAAAAGAAAACTTTTCAAATACGTTTTTTAAATGGCAATGTAAAATGACAAGAATAATGATTTGCGAAGCTTTATTATGTATGTGACGACTTCATCTGACAGGAAAGTAGAGGAGGTGGAGTGCTGCTACATTATTTAAAGGTGAAATAGGAGCTTCATGTTTCACTCACAGTCGAAACAAGCTGTAGCAAGCATTTATTAAAAATGCGCAATCATCCTGTCAATACATATTAAGGTCACAGGACTGAAACATGTTCTAAAATGCAGAACTTTTAAAGCTGTACTATTCTTTACTTCAACTGATTCTATTTAAACAGTCAACACAATACACGATGTATGTATGAACTAACAAAATAAAGAGACTGCTAAGTATTTATTTTGAAAAGGCAGCAAATTTTTCTGAAGAGATTTTAGCAGAAGGATTTAAGCCCATCTAGAGGAATATAATACACTGCTTTCATTTATGGCATGTTCAATAAATCAGTAAAGCAATAAGCAGCAGAGCAGTACAGAAGGAAGATACACTGTAATTCATGGAATGCCCGAGTGCAATAAGAACACATGATTGATATTTGATTGATGCTTAAAAACACTTCCTCTACAGCAAGAGAGAAAGTGCAAGTATATTTTTCTAATTAAAGAACTAGATTCGCAAGGTAACTAAATTTAACTCGTATATATAAATATCCTCTGAAACATTTAAAATAGTTTTAGATTTGTTTGCATCACTCCAAAATGGTATTTTACTGTAACAGTATGACTATAAAGTTTCCCAAGTTGGCAACTATTTGCATTCATAACCAGTCGTTTACTTAAATTTCCAGGGAAAAGTTTCTTCATTTCAGAAGTTACATGTTCTTTAAGCAAAAAAAAAGGAAGGGGAGAAAAATGAGCCAATACTTAGCTGTACACAATTAGATTAGGTCTCAAAAATTTGAGAACCTTTGAACATGCCTATTCCCCTGTTCCTTTCAAGTTTTATGCTATGAAATATTTTCTGATAACAGGCCTTATTTCTGTCTCAGCTCCACACCAGTCAGGTTTTAATACTCAGCGTGTGATGAGAGATGAAACCAAGTGTGAACAACTTTCGGGTCCCATGAGTAGGCTGACTGTTGAAGCTGTCAGGTTCAATTGCATCATTCCACATTATTCAATGCCCCAAACTGCTCCCTAATTGTTAGGGGCTTAACATATTCAAAACCATTGTTTAGGCTAATGCTGAAATGCCTACAGTTGAGTTTCCATAAAGAAAGGGGAGGGATTTAATTGTAGTTAAACCATTACTGAACTCTCCTCCTTTCATGATAGGACAACAAGGATGGCTGGAACAACCAATTCCAAGACGGCTTCTTAATCAGTTTATATCCAATCAACATCCCTTTTCCCCTCTGCTTTAAAAACAGTCATTGCTATATTGTAGCTTTGCGTTATATTATGATGATGCTTTACAATTAGTGACAGACCACCTAATTACCTACTTCAGCCAATATCTATTTGTCAACAATAATTTCAAAGGTTATTTTTATTTCTTTTTTAAAATAAAAAAAATCATTGCTCCTGCACTGTCTATATCCCTTGAAGTATGAGTACCAGATTAATGTGGTTGGGGTCATACCATTTACCAATCATACTAGGTTCTTCATCACAGCACGATGCTGTGATAGAAAGTGCAAAACTACCCCTCGTTCCTAAATTAACACAAAGTAAAGAAATCAAGAGCACTGGGTATCACCTACAACTACTTCTTATGGCCAACTACTACTGAAAACAGTATAAAAAAAAAATTTGATGCAGATGAAGTTTAAAGCTAAATTTTCTGTGAGCTATTCTGCCACACTTCTGAGAAGATGTTACTAATACTTTCCATTCAATTGTCTAGCTTCACGAAATATGGAAGGAAATTCAAGCACTAGACCAAATATTAACATCAGCTTACTTCATCTAGAAGTCATGTTAAACTGATGTATTTTGGTCAATGGCAAACAACACTTACCTGAACAACATAGCATTGAAAATAACATCAAAATTAAAACCTGCATTGCAATTAAATGAGCTTAGATATTAAAACATATTAATGCTATGTACATAATGATAATAAAAAATTGATAATACACATATATATATATATAAACTAATTGCTTTTCTTTGGAAGCAAAAAGAGCTGCCTATCAAGTGACAGCAGCAAAAGCAACCTGGCCTTATGTTTCCCAGCTTAACTTGGACAAGTGAAGAAAAGTGGTTTTTATCCCTAGAATTTTTAAGGCCAGTTACGCTATGGGGAGCATATAACAGTTGGCTTTTCTT